TGTGGGTAATAATATGGTAGCTAGACCTTCAAAATTTATGTGTCTAAACTTTGTTAGTGTTGTTTCTTTGCTATTCTTTTACCCTTCTTGGTCAGAGCGATGTAGTGGGAGCTGCAAGCTTCACGTGTCTCAACTTTGTCAGAGAACTTTGGCAAAGTTATCTGTGGTACCCATGAGCTACTGTTGCGTGTGGGAAGTTGGTGATTGAACAGTACGATTCATGTGCTTTCTACTTCGCCAGAAATCTTCGACAGAACGCCCATAATTTCCGCAAAGCTGAGTGTGCGTGTGACAGGTGCTGACAAGGCTGGAAAAGTAGGTGCCTCTTCGATTTCTGAGATCGGCCCTCGTGGTCTCTGAGCAGCCCAGCTTTTGAGAAAGCAAGCCTCTTCGATTTCTGAGATCGGCCATCGTGGTCTTTGAGCAGCCCAGCTTTTGAGAAAGCAAACGCCTCTTTGATTTCTGAGATCGACCCTCGTGGTCTCTGAGCAGCCCAGCATTTGAGAAAGCAAACGCCTCTTCGATTTCTGAGCAGACGCCTCTTCGATTTCTGAAGCTTCGTCGAGTGCAGATTTTTATAGGGGCTGACATTAAGTTCCAAAACACACTTGAATATCCACCAGTAGAAGCTCCATTCTTGCACTTCTAAGATCTTAATTTGTCCGACCTCTTCTCTCTTCAACACCTTTGAAAATGTCTGGCCCCTCCGACCGTCGTTTTGACTAGAACCTTGTTGAAGAGGCAGCCCCGCCTTCTCCAGACAACATATGGCGCCCATCCTTCGTCTCCCCTACTGGTCCTCTTACCGTTGGGGATTCCGTGATGAAGAATGATATGCCCGCTGCGGTAGTGGCCAGGAACCTTCTCACTCCCAAAGATAACATATTACTTTCCAAATGGTCTGATGAGTTGGCTGTTAAGGATTCTCTGGCTCTCAGTGTTCAATGTGCAGGTTCTGTGTCTAATATGGCCCAACGCCTATTTGCTCGAACCCGCCAAGTTGAATCATTGGCGGCTGAAGTGATGAGTCTCAAACAGGAGATTAGAGGGCTCAAGCATGAGAATAAACAGTTGCACCGGCTCGCACATGACTATGCTACAAACATGAAGAGGAAGCTTGACCAGATGAAGGAATCTGATGGTCAGGTTTTACTTGATCATCAGAGATTTGTGAGTTTGTTCCAAAGGCATTTATTGCCTTCGTCTTCTGGGGCTGTACCGCGTAATGATGCTCCAAATGATCAACCTCTGATGCCTCCTCCTTCTAGGGTTCTGTCCAGTACTGAGGCTCCGAATAATCCCCCTCCGGTGCCTTCTCTTTCTGAGGCTCTACCGACTGCTGAGACTTCTCCTAAGCAACCTTTGTGAATGCTCCCTCTTGTTTGTTTATTTTGACTCAAGTATATGTACATATTTGTAACTTATCGGGGATATCAATAAATAAGCTTTCCTTCATTTCAACGTATTGTGTTAAATACACCCAAGCCTTCTTCGCTAAGTTCTTTGAATTTTCTTTTGTTGAAGCTTGTATGTTGAAGCTTTGTGAGTGAAGCATGTAGGTTGAGGTAGTGTTCCCTTAATTTCCCGAGTGAGGAAAACTTCTCGGTTTAAGACTTGGAAAATCCAAGTCACTGAGTGGGATCGGCTATATGAATCTTAGAACGCCATTGTGTTCTGTCCTGTGTCATGTCCTCCGTTAGATCCAAGTACTCTAAGTCTTTTCTAGGGTATCTTCCAAAGTTTTCCTAGGTCTTCCTCTACCCCTTCGACCCTGAACCTCTGTCCCATAGTCGCATCTTCTAATCGGAGCGTCAGTAGGCCTTCTTTGCACATGTCCAAACCACCGTAACCGATTTTCTCTCATCTTTCCTTCAATTTCGGCTACTCCTACTTTACCCCAGATATCCTCATTCCTAATATTATCATTTCTCGTGTGCCCACACATCCAACAAAGCATCCTCATCTCCGCTACACCCATTTTGTGTACGTGTTGATGCTTCACCGCCCAACATTCTGTGCCATACAGCATCGCCGGCCTTATTACCATCCTATAAAATTTTCCCTTGAGCTTCAATGGCATACGGCGGTCACACAACACGTCGGATGCACTCTTTCACTTCATCCATCCAGCTTGTATTCTATGGTTGAGATCTCCATCTAATTCTCCGTTCTTTTGCAAGATAGATCCTAGGTAACGAAAACGGTCGCTCTTTGGTATTTCTTGATCTCCGATCCTCACCCCTAACTCGTTTTGGCCTTCATTTGCACTGAACTTGCACTCCATATATTCTGTCTTTGATCGGCTTAGGCGAAGACCTTTAGATTCCAACACTTCTCTCCAAAGGTTAAGCTTTGCATTTACCCCTTCCTGAGTTTCATCTATCAACACTATATCGTCTGCGAAAAGCATACACCAAGGAATATCATCTTGAATATGTCTTGTTAACTCATCCATTACCAACGCAACAAGGTAAGGACTTAAGGATGAACCTTGATGTAATCCTACAGTTATGGGAAAGCTTTCGGTTTGTCCTTCATGAGTTTTTACGGCAGTCTTTGCTCCTTCATACATATCCTGTATAGCTTGGATATATGCTACTCGTACTCCTTTCTTCTCTAAAATCCTCCAAAGAATGTCTCTTGGGACCCTATCATACGCTTTTTCCAAATCTATAAAGACCATGTGTAAATCCTTTTTCCCATCTCTATATCTTTCCATCAATCTTCGTAAGAGATAGATTGTCTCCATGGTTGAGCGCCCTGGCATGAACCCGAATTGGTTGTCCGAAACCCGTGTCTCTTGCCTCAATCTATGCTCAATGACTCTCTCCCAGAGCTTCATTATATGACTCATTAGCTTAATACCCCTATAGTTCATGCAATTTTGTACATCGCCCTTATTCTTGTAGATAGGCACCAAAGTGCTCGTTCGCCACTCATTTGGCATCTTCTTCGTTTTCAAAATCCTATTGAAAAGGTCAGTGAACCATGTTATACATGTCTCTCCCAAAACTTTGCACACTTCGATTGGTATATCGTCTGGGCCTACTGCTTTTCTATGCTTCATCTTCTTCAAAGCTACAACCACTTTTTCCTTCCGGATTCTACGATAAAAAGAGTAGTTTCTACACTCTTCTGAGTTACTCAACTCCCCTAAAGAAGCACTCATTTCATGTCCTTCATTGAAAAGATTATGAAAATAACATTTCCATCTGTCTTTAACCGCGTTCTCTGTAGCAAGAACCTTTCCATCCTCATCCTTGATGCACCTCACTTGGTTTAGGTCCCTTGTCTTCTTTCCCCTTGCTCTAGCTCGTTTATAGATATCCAACTCTCCTTCTTTGGTATCTAGTCGCTTATACATATCGTCATAAGCCACTAACTTAGCTTCTCTCACAGCTTTCTTCGCCTCTTGCTTCGCTTTTCTATACCTTTCACCATTTTCATCGGTCCTATCCTTGTATAAGGCTTTACAACATTCCTTCTTAGCCTTCACCTTTGTTTGTACATCCTCATTCCACCACCAAGATTCCTTTTAGTGTGGGGCAAAGCCCTTGGACTCTCCTAATACCTCTTTTGCTACTTTTCGGATACAACTAGCCATGGAATCCCACATTTGGTTAGCTTCCCCCTCTCTATCCCACACACACTGGGTGATTACTTTCTCTTTGAAAATTGCTTGTTTTACTTCTTTTAGATTCCACCATCTAGTCCTTGGGCACTTCCAAGTCTTGTTCTTTTTTCTCACTCTTTTTGATATGTACATCCATCACCAACAAGCGATGTTGATTAGCCACGCTCTCTCCTGGTATAACTTTGCAATCCTTACAAGTTATACGATCCCCTTTCCTCATTAGAAGAAAATCTATTTGTGTTTTTGACGACCCACTCTTGTAGGTGATCACATGTTCTTCTCTCTTCTTAAAGAAGGTGTTGGCTAAGAAGAGATCATATGCCATTGCAAAATCCAAGATAGCTTCCCCATCCTCGTTTCTCTCCCAAAAACCATGGCCACCATGAAAACCTCCATAGTTGCCTGTCTCCCTGCCCACGTGTCCATTTAAATCTCCTTCTATAAATAACTTCTCCGTCTGAGCAATTCCTTGCACCAAGTCTCCAAGGTCTTCCCAAAATTTCTCCTTCGAACTCGTATCCAACCCTACTTGAGGTGCGTACGCACTAATCACATTGATAAGTTCTTGTCCTATTACAATCTTGATTGCCATGATTCTATCTCCTACCCTCTTGACATCTACAACATCTTATGTCAAGGTCTTGTCCACGATGATGCCAACACCGTTTCTCGTTCTATTTGTGCCCGAATACCATAGTTTAAACCCTGAGTTTTCTAGATCTTTTGCCTTACGACCAACCCACTTAGTTTCTTGTAGGCACATAATATTTATCCTTCTCCTCACCATAACTTCTACTACTTCCATAGATTTTCCCGTCAAGGTTCCTATATTCCACGTTCCTAAACGCATTTTGCTCTCTTGAACTCTACCCTTCTGTCCTATCTTCTTCACCCTTCCCTTTCTAATAGGATCAAAGTACTTCTTTTGTGTGTCCCGTGTAAAGTTGATAGGAGCATATGCTCCCAAACAACTTTGAGTGGAGTCGTTCGAAAAGAAGTTTCTATAGCCCCCTTGCTCATTTAACACTGCATCCGGGTGCCGATGGAGATACAGCGACCCTTGCTCACTTATCACTGTGCTCGGGCCACACAACGCGCCACTTACGGGTGACGCCCTAGCTTTAGCGCGATTTTGTTCTGGATTCATTTTCATAAGGATTTGACGTAATCATGGAGTGCCGGCTGTCGACTACCTGACGCCCTCCCCCTCCTCCTTTATCCGGGCTTGGGACAGGCAATGTAAGATAAACTTACACGGCGGAGTTCCGATCAACCACTATAATTACAAAAATATAATCATACACACACACATCCAATTATACATATATACACAATCATATACATATATTATAGAGAGAGAGAGTACCTGCGCAAGGACCTGTTTGGGGAGACCAGAGCCCTGGAAGAAAGCAACGGCTTCATTGCCACTAATCCGGCCATCGCAGTCTAAATCGGCCCATCGGAAATACGCATCGAAGAGATCCACATGCGCCGATTGGTTCTGCATCGACGCCATCGCCACGGTCGGATTGCGATTCGCGGAGAATCAGACCATGGAATCAATCGAGAGCGCCTCGCTCTCAGGCTGCCGTACGCGTGAGGAGTGCCGGAAGAAACAGAAAACCACGAATTCGGAGGACCAGGATTTGGTTGCCTTTCTTATCCGATTAGGAGGTAAATCAGAAGGCGACGGAGAGAGCCAATAGTTTGAGGTAGAAAAACGATTGTCGTTAATCGATTTTTCGTTTTTATTTTTTGTGACCAAAATGGTACTGTATTTATTGTGATATTTCAAAATTGCCACTGGTCCTCATGAGCCCGGCCCATTAGGTACTACCACAACAAATACAATTTAGAAATCAGAGTTGGTTAGCAAGTTTATGTTTTCGATTTGTCAACTTGTACAAAGTGGGGAAACAAAAACGTGCACATATAGAAAGGTACAAATTAATGCGAGATTGAGGAGGAAGCTGTAATTTAGAAATCAGAGTCATTTGTTTGTCGGATATTTGATATGTTATATTGTCATACTGTAAATCATAGTTGTACATATATGCATCGTTATGTAAATCCGTCTAAAGAGGAAACATAATTGATAATCTATACACACCCATATAGATTAACTACTCTTATCATGGCCAACAAGCAGCTCATGTCCACGACGGTGTTGAGTTCACGTTCGTCGGTTTCACGTCCTCTTCTTCTTTAAGGAGACGATCAATGATTAGTGTTCTAAAATATGATTATAAACCGTTTAAATAACTTCATTAGTTGGTACAATTAAGGCATTTTGATTGATCCCTTTTGTGATCGCCTCATTTTCACTATTTAACTAATCCCTGAAACTTCTTGCATTACATGATGTGCGTGAAAAGGTCTATTAAATAAAACATTGGGGATCTTTGAAGTAGTACTATGTTTCGGATCAATTTAGAAGTAGTACTATGTTTCGGATCAATTTAGAAGTAGTACTATGTATGTTTGATTTTTATCCATTACTCAATTAGGTTACCTTTCTTCTCGGGGAAAATCAGAAGACGACGGAGACACTGAGAGATGCCGATAGTTTGAGTTAGAAAAACGATTGTCGTTAATTGATTTTTTGTTTCCATTTTTTGTGACAAAAATGGTACTGTATTTGTGTGATATTCAAAATTGCCACTGGTCCTCATGAGCCCGGCCCATTAGGTACTACCACAACAAATACAATTTAGAAATCAGAGTTGGTTAGCAAGTTTATGTTTTTGATTTGTCAACTTGTACAAAGTAGAGAAACAAAAACATGCACATATAGAAAGGTACAAATTAATGCGAGATTGAGAAGGAAGCTACAATTTATAAATCAGAGCCATTTGTTTGTCGGATATTTGATATGCTATATTATCATATTATAATTCGCAGCTGTACATTTAGGCATCGTTCTGTAAATCCGTCTAAATAGGAAACCTAATTAATAATGTATACACACCCATATAGATTAACTACTCTTATCACGGCCAACAAGCAGCTTATGTCGACAACGGTGTTGTGTTCGCGTTTTGTCGGTTTCACGTCCTCTTCTTCTTTAAAGAGACGATCAATGATTAGTGTTCTAAAATATGATTATAAACCCTTTAAATAACTTCATTAGTTGGTACAATTAAGGCATTTTGATTGATCTTTTTTGTGATCGCCTCATTTTCGCTATTTAATCAGTCCCTAAAACTTCTTGCATTACATGATGTGCATGGAAAGGTCTATTAAATAAAGGAAGTTTTAACGAAACACTCCCGGTATTGTTCGCTTTTAACGAAAAACCACATTTTTATATTTTCCTAGTACTATTCACTACACCTTTATTTGTCATTTTTCATTAAAACTTAAGTTTTTTTTAACTTTTCGTTAGTTTTCCTTAAAACAAAACATTGGGGATCTTTGAAGTAGTACTATGTTTCGGATCAAAATCAAAGGACCGGCCTAATAATTGATGTAATTAGTAAACATTAACACATAATGTAATGCATTCTTAATTGGAGCTACTACCTTGTCTAGTTTCCTTTTTTTTTTTATAAGTGTATATGTTAGTTTGGTGTATGTCGTTGACCACTCTGGATTGAAGTGTGCAACTCCATTGTGAGATCTTCTTTTGTTCTCAATTGTAGCAAATGTCTCAATCACCGAGACGAATTTCTCGAATTTTATCAAGTACATGTCGATTTATGTGCTCCTAACTATTTTTTAGCATGAATAGTTCCACCTTATTTGCAAATGTTAAGAATAGTTGCTCATATGTGCATAAACCGTAGGTTATGAATACAGACATAACTTGGATTCTAATTGAATATTTGGTGTTACAACATAAATAATAAAGTTGAGCATTTTTCAATATATCGAAAACACGATCTGATATACCAAGTGTCGTTTGGACTATATTTAATAAGTTACCATTAAAAGATAACTCTTGATTTGGTAAATACGAAAAGAAAAGGAAATTAGGGTATATTATTTTATATTAATATGAATATTACTTAATTATTTTGTCAGACATTTATCCATTACTTGGTCGTGATTGGACTGAACAGTTGGCTCAACTGGTGTAGCAGCTAATGGGAGGCCTGGGCTGCATACGGCGCTTCCCCAACGCCCACTTCCACCTCCATTTATGTCCCCTGGCCTCTCCACCTCCTCCGTCCTCATCACCGCCGGGTAAAACCCTCCTCCTATTCTCTCCCACATCAAACACCCAAACCAGAACAATCAACACCAAAAATGCCAGTGCTGGGTACAAGAAGAAGGAGAAGAAGTGGAAGATGAAGATTGCAGAGATCTGACTCTCAGACCTCCTTTCTCCCTCCCTCAAAACCAACAAACCCAGCAACAAAAACAACAAAACGATGACGATGAAAAAGCAGAAGAACAAGAAGAAGGGGAAAATGAAAACAGAGTACAAGGCCGTGGCCGAGGGAACTGGACGATAGTGCTGTCGTCGAGCTTGGTGGGTCTGCTCACCCGAATCGGCGTCGTCCTCTTCAACTACTCTGTATGTTTGATTTTTATCCATAACTCAATTCTCCATTTTTCCTTTTCTTGCTTGATTGCAAAGTTTTGAGCTTTTATCTGAAATTTTGCTAGGTGGGGCTGCTGGAGTTGGTTCTGGTTGGTATTCAGTTTTGTGTATATCTATGCTGCCATTATCAATACATGTATGCCCGTGGAGTCCATCACCACCTAATTCCTCATCCATTTCACTTGTGAATACCACTTCTATGGTCATACTTAGTGCTGTGATAGCTTCTGCAGTTTCAGAAGCTGGTCTTTGTTCTGAACCAGCCTTTAAGGTCCCATACTATGACTTCCGCTCACCTGCTGGTACACTATCAATTATCTGTTGATTCTTCAAAATGATATATATAAAAACTTATGTGCCTAGTGAACAAAAAATGGTTCTTTTATTTTAAATAATTTCTGCAATTGACTATGGCATCAGTATGTGATCTCGGAGTATTTACGTGCTCCTGGTAATGTGATTTGCCTTTACTGAATATGGTTTCTGGTATTTGTCTGCTAAATTCTGAAGGTATCCCAAAATCTGGATGGAGTTGACAATCGGTGAGATTCCATTTTCAGGTTGGAATGGGTGCTAGTCTTGCAGGAGTCTGTTGCTTTTTGAATTGACACAAGATTATCGTATTGTGCTGCCGCTACTTGGAGCTGTGGGGTTATCTTCGTGGATTACATCTGGACAGACGAGGAGAAAGGTTATCGGGAAGACTAAGCAACTCAAACAGGGAAACATTAGTAGCATTCAACAACCTGAAGTGCTTTCCCCTACTGCAAATGGGATATCTTCAAGTGGTGCTTCAGCTGAAAGGACATCTAATGCAAGTGACCTGTGTGAAATTGAAATTTCACTCTGTATAGATGGTTCGGATATTGATACTGATACAGGTACTGTAACACTCAGCAAGTCTTCCAGTCGATGCTCGATTGCTGAAAAGGGCTCAGAGTTGGTTCTGCCTGAACAACTTCAAATCTAAATACAACTGATGGACACAGGAACATATACAAAGTTATTGGAAGAGAAACCGTCAAATTGGGGTTTTCCTTTACCATTTTGCCTTGTAATATAGTTACTGGTTATCGTTTGTTAATGAAAAATGAAAAATCTTTTGAGTAAAGAAATGAGTTAAGCAGATTATAATCCTAATTTCTGACATCCAAACTTTTCAAAAACATCGGTCACCTACGCCCAATCATTCAGGATAACGTGGGTTTGAGTCTAGTACTAAATGCTTCCTCTATGAACATCATACGACATCCTAAATTTCTAATCCCCATCTTCTTCCCCAATGAAAGAGGAAAATTGGATTTTGGAGCACCAAAATCAGGGGCAGTGGACTACCGATTGAACTTACGATTCCTGAAATAAGCATGGATTTAGGGTTCCGACCAAAGAATTCGGTTTTGGGATACAACAGTATAATGACAGTTCCATGCCTTCCTGTTTAACTTTTAATAGTTCAAAACAGTGAAGAAAAAAACATGTACAAGAGGCCAAATTTGGGTACTTATCCATGATAGTTTAAAAAAGCGTTGAATTCTTACAAATACAAGAAATGCTAAGATACATGAAATGCTACTGCTCAAATTTGATCATGTCTTCATGCCGAGGGAAACAAAAGTAGAAGAAGAAACAAGACAAGATGATGATTCCAAAGGTGGAGATGAGCCTGAAGCAAATGAAAGTGATGAACATGGGTCTGAAGCCAGTGGAATTGAAGATGATTCGGACTTTTAATCCAACAAATCCTAAGTATCATTATCCAATAGAATTAGGAAAAACTTTATGAAAAATTTGTACTTTGAGAGCTCACTTGTCTGTCCAAGAAATAAGACAACAAATAGGCAAGGCTTTTATTATTTTGGTATCTTCAAAGTGCAAGTTATGGACAAGTGTGTAATACCCTATTTATTATCATTAAAACTTGATTCGCAAGTCCATGGGCATCTTGAAATTTGCCTTTATATCATAAACATAGACATTAATTAACACACCACGCCAGGAGGTATATTAATGACCTGATAACATAACTCTCTCAACCTCACTAACTGTAGTATCAATTCTTCATCTACTTATTTTCTACCATTTGAACATCAATTCCGCATTTATACTAACACGAAATAAAAATCTCAGCTTACATAAGAGAATTAAGACATCCCGAGCTCACATTTACCACTTCAACTACAATTAGACTACAAATTCAAAATCAATCTGATTCGGAACACAAATATAATCATACACACACATCCAATTATACATATATACACAAAGCATATACATATATATAGGGGGGAGTACCTGCGCAAGGACCTGTTTGGGAAACCAGAGCCCTGGAAGAAAGCGACGGCTTCATTGCCACTAATCCGGCCATCGCGGTCCAAATCGGCCCGTCGGAAATACGCATCGAAGAGATCCACATTCGCCGACTGGTTCTGCGTCGACGCCATCGCCACCGTCCAAAATCTCGTCAAAATCAAAGATATGCTCACAAACCGGTTAAGAACTTCAAGTCATAAACTAGTACCTAAAAACAAGAAAACAAAACAAAGTCAGAAACTAAAATAAAATACACAAAAAAGAAACAAAGAGGATTAGCAAAGTTGCTAATCCCCGGCAACGGCGCTAAAAATTTAATGTGATATAAACTAGTACTCAAATTAAACCTTCTTATTGACAATTGTAGTAAAGATGTAAGTAAGGATCGTTCTAGGCCGGGGATTATGAGGGATTGCTAATCTACTTAAAACTAACTCAAAAACACAAAACTAGGCTTGAAAAACTTAACTAGACTCAAAGAACTTGAAACAAACTAAAGAGACTCAAAACAACACAAATAAACAAACAGACTCAAACTAGGCACTAAAGGGTGATTTGGACGAAAATTGATTTTAACTTGACTCAAAACACTTAAAACACAAGTTTGGACAGATTCTTACTAATTTGACACAAAAAAGTAAAGGGGATTGGGTTTTTGACGAATTTAAAGTAAAGACAAGTTAAAGACTTAAACAAGTTTGCACGAAATTGGGGGGAAATATGGGTGATTGGCTAGCTAGAGGGTTCTTCTCAACACATGACACACTTGCATACAAATCGATTTTCAGTTGCTTTTCCAATAAACCATGAACCTCAACGCCCCAAATTAACCGTGAACAGCACTAATTAACCCTTAGATTTTCCTTAAGTCATTAAATTGGATGGATAACGCATCGGCAACCAAATTATTCTTCAATAGTTTCCTAAATGAACAACACAATAGAGATACAATCAAAGGTCATTAAGCTTTGTGAAAATCATAAACATTGACAAGGCATTCGTAACTATGAACAGCATGATACTCCTGCCCAGGAATTTACTTAACACAATTGTGACTAGCAATCTCCACTACTTATGAATATAAGTTCATAACAATTAGGTGAAACTCCCTTATATTCTAGCATCAAGTTCATGCATGCAAACTAAGTATGCATCTTTAATCAACAGACAAAAATAAGTTTTGAATCAACCAATTAAGAAAACTGCATTCACGATTTATGAAATCACAATTGGAAGTAATCAATTTATATTGCAAATATATGTTCATGGCTTTGAATTTTACTCTAGGTAAAACGAGTTTAGCTCCTCATGTTCGGAAAAACAAAGATAACTTAAATTAAACATTGGAAACCAAAGATGGATTACACCTAAAAAACGTTCCAGCAATCCAAGCTTGAATAGCAAGCACGTCCAAGGGTTCTCCTTCTTCTTTGCGGCACAAGGTGTGGGTGAAGGTTTGAGTGATGAATTATATGAAAGAATGGCTAAAAGTATGAATAGTAGTGAATGGATCATCCTCAAGGCTACGGCAAGGCTTAACATATATAAGGAAAGAGAGTTAAAACCCTAATAATTTTTGCGGCAAGGCTTAATTTATTTCCTTCATTTCTTCAGCACATTCCTAGCCTCTTTTGATCATCAAATTCGTCTATCCACCTTGTTCCATACTTGTCTTATCCATTCTAAGCCCAAAATTGCTCCAAATTTGCACTTTCTTGCTACTTTAGCCCTTTGGACCTACAAACACACGAAAATAGCTTAAAATACTAAAATAACTAGGAACTAACAACATAAATGCAAGAAAACAAGCTAACTAAGTCGCATAAAATATGCTCATATCACGTGGTAGATGACCGAGTCTTTCAGAAACCCTTAGGCCATTGATCTTTGAGCTTATGTGGATAGGGTTCTCTTGACGTTACCTCAGGAGGTCTCGACAGTCGTGATAAACGGCTTTCGATCATTCCACTCCCTTTACTAGGAGGTGCCTCCCTTAACTTCTCTAATTTAGGTCGAAGTAGTTGGGTTAAGAGAAGTCTCATGTCAATCAACACATTGATGAGTAGCTCTTTTCTTATTACGAATATCCATGTTAAAGACCAATGACCCTCCATGTTGGGGGGTACCAAAGTGATGGTTGATGTCCACAAAGGTAATAGGCTCATGTGACTGAGTATGCCTAGCCTTTCTCGAAGAGCTTCTCATACTGCTCCTGGAGGATTTCATTCTTTATTGCTATCTTGTTGTTCTAAGCCTCCAGCTCCTCAACTTTAGCTTGAAGAGCGAACTTCTTTGATTCTTTCTTTCCCTGCCTCACAATATGCACAAGGGGAGTGTTGTTCTATGTGTTGTGACTTCCTTCGCTCCCCATGTTGGAGAGGGATGCCTGATCGAATGAAAGTGTACGAACGATGGAAATCAGCTTGGCAAAGCTAAAGAAAGTAGGAATAAGTGTGCTTCCCACATACGGTACCAAATGTTGATGCACAAAATTAGTGAGGACTTTGGAACAACGTAAAGTGTCAAGTTTGTGACCTTTGCTCAGTTCCTCCGATCACCTAGTAAGGATAAGTATGCAAAGAGATAGAGAAAGGGAAGCAAACACAAGATGTATGTGGTTCACCTGGTTTGGCTACGTCCACGGAGTAGATGGGTTCTCATTAATATTGAAAGGTTTACACAATACATAGGTTCAAGCTCCTCATAAGTGAGTTCTAATGAGTAGTTTTGTACAAATGACATTAGGGATTCATTGGAGGAGAATGGTCTCATTTTATAGTTAAGGAGAGTCTTTAGCTTTATTCTGACATTGACACGTGTCGTGTTGTGATTGGTCTCTAACATGGACATGTGTCGCGCTGTGATTAGCCTCTGATGTTGACATATGTCATGTTGTGATTGGCCTCCTGATTGGAAGGAAACTCTTGTGGGTCCTTAACGGCATGACGTTGACCGGTGCTCAGTAGTTTCGGAATTGGTCAAGTATAGTACAAACAATCATAATATCCAATGCCGACCCTGCAAAATTTAGAGGCTCTAAGCTAGCCTTCGAAGTGGGGCCTTAGAGTTTGATGATCCCTGCCCATGACCCCCCCCCTTTGTACATTGATGTGTATAAAACAAAATTACTAAATACATGAAAAAAAATCTATTTCTATATTACATCAAAAGAAGAAAGATGTACAAACATTACATATATATTACATGTCTCATGTTTTTAGACCAAATGTAATAATTAAGTTCGCATACTCTAATTTTTCAACCAATTCTTTTTTCAATTGCTTATGATTTTATTTTTTTGATATTTTAGAATTTGAATTGTAAAAATTTATACATACATACTATTGAGCTATTTTCACAAAGAAAATAAATAAACAGTCGTTAGAGAGAGAGAAAAAAAAAGGGTAAAGAGCTTAAAAAAGGGTCAAAATAAACAAAAGAAAAATAGCCCAAGTTCATTCTGAAAAGTGAGATTGGGCTGGCTCCTCTAAAGGTCTATACTTGTTTGCAATCAATTACATAAATGAGAATAAAAGATGATGGGATAAAATCACATTTTGAAACTTGAAGAAGTGGTTCGCTTCTAGAACAATCTCATAGTCCCACGTTTTCAAGTGGAGCAACGTAGTGGCTCTTCCAAACTGCTCCACTTCTTGAAATGGCAAGCAACTGCTCCATGTCTTCTCTCTATAAAAGGATGTGATCCAAACGCAGAGGGGTGACAGCAAAAGCATACAGAGGGGAGACAGAAAAACACTGCAAAAATTAAGAGAGACAACGGAGAAGAACAGACAGCAGAAATCTTGAGAGAGTTGGAGAGAAGTCAAAGAAGTGAAGTGCTATGGAAATTCAAGGAAACAAAGGCAAACAGAGAAGTGGATACACGGCAAAGGAAAGCAACAAAGCATTTAAAGGTATAAATCCATCCTTCTAAATCTTTCTTTGTTTGGTTTCTCTCAGTTTTGCAGGAAAAAAAAGAAGTAATTTGCTTCTGCAACCTTTCTCATTCCCCCGAAGCAAAAATGGAGGTGGTTGCCGTAAATTTATAAGTGGTCCAGACCACCCGATGGAGCTCGAGATGAAGCTCTATGGCCAGACGACCTAGCTCCTTGTCACTACCGTTAATCCAATGAATTTCTTCGGGGTAGTCTAAACTACCCCGTGAAGTTCCAATCAAATCCAAGAGCTCCGCTTCCCGCCGCTGTCGTCAATCCCATTAATTTCTTTGGTGTGATCTAAACCATCCTATGAAGTTCCAATCGAATCCAAGAGCTCCGCTCCCCACCACTGCCGTCAATCCCATGAATTTCTTCGAGGTGGTCTAAACCACCCAGTGAAGTTCCAATCAAATCTAAGTGATCCATGCTCGCCATTGCCTCTGCCACCAACAACAGCTATGCAAGGACATTGCTCGAAGGTATGCAGCAAGTATACTTGACCAAATGACAAACGCAGCAAGAATATGGCTTCGAGATCAACCTCACTTGTAGAAGAAGGTGTTAATCTACTGTTCTCACGTACAAAATTAACATGGGATACAAGAGTTCCACCCAAAGCCTTTTGTAGCAAGAATTCAAAAGATAAGGAAAACAAATGGAGATTGCGAAGTCTGCAAAGGAAAGCTACAGTAGAGAAGAAGAGAAAGAAGTTTGTCTTCTAAACCATGCATATGGTCACTTAAAAAAATGGGTTGTTGTCTTCCATGCAAATTCAAAATAAATGGAAAGCTAAAATATGGTTTTCCTCTCCAAACACCACCACTTGAAGCCCTATTTAGGACTTAGAAAATTCGAAGTCTTCAAATAGAAGAAGAAAGAAGCTTGCTGCAAAACAAAACCTCTCTAAGTTAAGTGGGAATATTGCCCACTTGGAGAACAAAGAAAAGCCACGGCTCCCCATCTAAATTCACATGGGCTTTGTAAAGGTAGACTTTACGAATTAGAGCTG